CCGTAGTAAAGCGTCGGTAGTTTCGTGGTTATTGTGTTATTTAACGCGTTGTCACCACTGCTTAGTTACATAGTTGTTATAGAACTGTAGTTACTATAGTAAAACCATGGTAATATTTCGCAGGGCTGTTGTCGTCTCTTCGTAAGTTTTGATGTGCTTCGAATTATTGTTTTGAAATAAATGCATAATGTTATCTGCATATATACTTAAAGCATAACTGGGAGGTTATATACATGCATGCTTTTTTGTACAGTTATACTTTGCAAAAGTGAGGCAACAGCAGGGTGTGAAAACGACCCCCAGCTGTGCCCTGTGGATGGGGGATGGGGGACAGACAGCAAAGCTTTGCAGGGCCATGCACAGGTGTCTGTGTGACCTGTCTGGCCTTTGATCTTTTGCTCTTTTTGAGTAGATAAGAGATTTTGAATTGATTGTAGATCCAAATAAAACAGTGTCTTCACTAAAATGCATTTATCTATTTATATATATTAAAAAAAAGTTAATTCAGATGTTGTTACGCATTAATATTTGTCCAATTTTAAGTTCTAACATACTGTAGTGGCATAGTGAAAAAAAAAAAAAAAATTTGTGATAGAATTAGCCCCTTTTTGCCAAATAATGAATTAAATACCTTAACCAACATATTCCTTATATATTTTGATGGTTTAATTAAACTTGTAGGGTCAATAAAAGCAAATATTGTGCAAATGTCCCCTTGGACATCACTTTTGGCCACTACTGTATATCTGACAAGTGTATTTGTGTGTTTTAACAGCACTGTGTCATTTGTGTCTTGTAGAAGATGGATTACAGTGCCCAGTTCCGCAGGGAGGCCTCCGGTGAGCTCACCCCTAAACCCTCTCCTGAGGCAGCGGCTCTTGCTACTGCCTACAGGAAAAATCCCACCCCGGGACGCTCATGGCCTGCTGCAAGGGTGAAGGAGGAGGCCATCGCTCACGTGGCAGCAGCGGGAGGTGACACGTCCAATCGCCAGCTTGTGCTGAGTGAAAGCGCCCTGCAGTTTGGCCAGTACCGGGGTAAAACCTTTAAATGGTTGCTTTCCAATGATGTTGGTTACGCAGCCATGGTGCTGGCCGTGCATCAGCGGGAGCGTGAGGGCGGCGACACCACCCAGTCTGCTGTCATGGGCAACAAGGATGCATTGCTGCGGTATGCTGGCCTGTTTCCTGACATGGTGGCTGCCATCAGCGAGCGCCGGGTCAGAGAGGGCACTGGCACACCAGCCCAGGAAGACCAGGTGCTTGTTGGATTTGGCAACTTTGCCACCATGTCCTTTAAGGACCTTTATGAGGCGACGGACCGTGACAGAAAAGGGTATGGGTTCACGTCTCTAACAGAGGATGCAGACAGTAGAGAATGCGTAGTGTTGGGGCTTAAACTAATTCTGTGTCCCTCCATTTCAGCTTCATCAAATGGGTGAGGAAGCAGACAGCCAGACCGGGTACGAAGATGGAAACTCTGCAGAAGTACATTCGGAGAAGAGACGCTGAGATGCTGTCAGAATCAGCGCCTCCAGGCATGAATCTAACTTAACTTTGTTTTGTTTTTGTAGGGTTTATATTATAATTCTTGCATAAACTGAATCTCGACTTGAGCTGAGCTGATAGTCTTTTTAGAGATGCTTTAAAGCAGAGTTTGAATTTGTCTCATGTTTAATGATTTCTGCAGTATTTTGCATACTGTAAAGCTGTTTTGAAACAATCTGTATTGTGTTAAGCACTATATAAATAAATGTGACTTAATTAACACCGTTCATGCTGATATTAACAGTGGCCGCCTCCATCAGCTTCCGCAGAGGAACCATCTGATGAAGATCTGCTTGCTGCAGCGGCACATGTAGATGTTCCAGGTGAGCATTACCTTCTCTTTAGTGGGATTACATTTGTGGTTTAATTTAAGAAAACCGTGCTTTTGAACATTATATAACCTGTTTTGTTATTATGTATTATCAGCCTTCAGATGGATGGTTTTGGAAACAGTAAGGTAGGAGGTGTACTACACCTTCTGGTCGTGCGGGCTAACGTGGCTTTCTTTGTCCTTTTTCTGCTTTTAGTCAAATTTAATGACATCTTTTTACACTTTATGGCTTTTTTCCAACACCGCTGCGATTTTTCCACCCTGCTCAGCTTTGAGCATCTATCTTTTTATCACCGCACATTTATGTTTGTCATCATCTTTTTGTCATCGCATCGTTTTCGATCTTTAAATGGGCGGCTACAGCTGCAATCACTAATCTTAACATACTACTAGTGTTAAATAGTAGTACTAATATCTAGCAGTAGTAGTAGTAATTGTATTAATCTTGTAATAGTAAATAACACTGATGGCACCACTTCTATGTATCTCATTTACTTTTTCCTTTTATGCCACGCAGCTGATGTGACTCAACCGTCCAGTCAGCCAGAACCTCTGCCCTCTGCAACGAGAGCTGCTGCGCCAGAACAGCGGCCTCTGCCCACAGAAGTAAGTAAGTAAAATGCTCAAATGGTTGGTCAAAAATCAGCAGCAGAAAAAAACACCAACACGATTTCTCTTTTTCTTCCCCTTACAGCTGTTGCTGCCTGAAGGCTGGAGACAGACCCTGCCCAAAGAGCAGCATTTGTGGGTCAGCAAGGCTCTTTTCACCAGAGACAAGTCTGGGAGGCTGGCGCTGACCAAAAACTTGCGTCTCTGGTGGCATCCTCCTGGGCCCCGTCCTCTGTATACACAGCCTCCTTCATCACCTGACAGCTTCTATCATACCAGGCTGTTCCTGTGGGTCCCTTACCGCTTGTGGTCATACAGGCTGCTGTGCTCACAGGCCAACTGTCGCCGCCTTGGCTTCCCGCTGACAGCGTGCGGAATGTACAAGACCGTCAGGAGGGTCTTGGATGTCAGCGGCTGGTACTTCATGGCTACAGAGTACCTTGAATGCCGGTCCTGCAAAAAAAAGCTGGCAGGCTGGTCACAGGATATTCTTAACCAGCTCGATCCTGTCCACAGGGAAATGTTTCCTGCGGTTTTGACCTACAGGTTGGCACACGGTTTTGTTTTTTGTTTTGTTTTAACATGAGAAATTGTCTTTCATGCTCATCTGATATTGATCTGTGGTCTTTATTTATCATGCAGGCTGTCGTGTGATAAGGAGATTGTGAGGTGGATGCGTGGGCGCTCATTGGGGAACAGTTCAACTTCTGCATACCGGAACCTGTGCGTCAGGCACAGAGAGCATTGGATTGCCCAGACAACCCATTATCTCTCTGTGATTGGGAAGTTCCCGGACTATGCCACAGACCCTAGCAGTCTCGCTGCCCAGCTGCCTCAGATGGTACCTGTGCCTTGTACCATGGCTGCTGTCAGTTTATGCCAAAGACGTACTGACACGGCTGCCGGAACTAAAGGCAGGGTGACTTCTATCTATGGAACCATCCTGAAAATGGATTCCACTAAAAAGGTAAGAAGACACATGCGCATAACATCACCATTAGTAGAGATAGGTGTAGGCTACATCACCCTTTTGTTTTCGTGTTTTTTTTTCTGTAACAAAATTATATTTTTTTCAATGTAAACTGACAGATCTTTCCACATTAATAATTATTTTCATCCTATTTCAGGTCACTAAGAAACTGGCTGGTGAGGCTGCTGGCACAGCGGCATGGGTCACAGATGTCGGAAATGAGTTTGGGCAGGTCCTCATGTGTGTCCTCACTGAGGCAGAGGGTGACGGCCTGCTTTCCATGTGCTCTGGACTCGTGGAGTGCTACCGGAGAGCTGGAGAAGCTCCTCCCCAAGTCCTCTATGTGGACCGTGACTGTTGCTCTGCCACTGGGAAAGGAAAGGCGGCAGCAATGTTTAGTCTGTGGGACCAGCTGATTGTCAGGCTGGACGTGTGGCACTTTATGCGGAGGTTTGCAGTAGGAGTGACCACAGACAGCCACCCGCTTTATGGCTCCTTCATGAAACGCCTCACCGCTTGCATCTTCGAATGGGATGCTTCGGATGTGGAGAGGCTAAAGGAGGCCAAGCGGTCGACAGGCTGCCAGCCCACCCCTAAAGAACTGGCAAAGCATTGCCACCGCCGCACTCGAGGGGCCCAGGAGACTGAGCAGCTAATTGAGAAGCTGCTTAAAGACTTAGCTGGGGCTACGGACACCATGGGCATCAAGCTCCTTGACCAGGAGAGGATGCAGGAGATCTGGCGGACCCAGCAGCGCCACATACAGTGCATCCAGGACCCGCCAGGTGTACAGCTGTACAGGAAGACGGGACAGGTGACCAAGGATGGGGTCATTCTACCCGTGTACCGCTGTGCATGTGGCTCAACATCCCTGGAGTCGTTCCACCTGCACTTGAATCGCTTCGTGCCAGGTTTGCATTACTCAAAAATAGCGTTTGTTGTTTGTGTGTTTGCACTGTATGTTTTTTTTTTTTCATGGTGATCATTTCTCAATTTGTTTTTAGGTACAAGTGTTTAGGTACAACCTGTTGGAAGGACTGGTGCAGTGGAACGAGGCACGTGGGGTCGCTGCAGTTGAAGGTGCCAGCAGGGAGGAGATCTGCTATGGCGGCCAGCTGCTGCAGTACTGTAATGCACTGAGCCAGCACCTTCTGGGTCTGAAACTGGCTCAGGATTACACCAGCCCCGGTGAATACACAGGTATTGTTCACGCAGACATTCTACTTTAGCTGTTTTTCACCCATGTGTTATTAAAACATCTATGCGATACACTCTGTATTTCTACAGGAGAGCTCATTGGTGTGGAATACTTGTATTCCCAAACCAGCAGAGCGTTTGAGGAAGACCTAGATGTAGATCCTGACATTCCAGATGGGATTCGGGATGAAGACCTGCAGGGTGATCTGGAGGGTGATGAGAGGTTTGAGGATCTGTGCCTTGATGAGCCCATTGAATTTATGGAACTCGAGGGCAATGACCTGCAGCCCCCTCAGGAACAGACAGCGGCCCTACAACCTCCTGGTCAGTCCTCATCATCAGCAGCTGCGGCTTCCTCTCCTGCCTCGTCCACTCAGAGCCAGGTAAATGAATACCCATAAACACACAGTGTACACTGAGATTTTATGGTGTGTGTGATGATGTTGATATTTCATTTGGGGTTTATTTTGTAATAATGAATGGCTGACTGACTGAAAAAATCCTTTAATTTTGGTAAGTTTATTTGACATTGATAACAGAGCAGTTTATTAATTTCTTTTCATGTACAGACGGAGAGTGTGGGACCAGATGGCCAAGCTGGTTATGACCACGTCATAAGGCTGGCCGACAGTCTGGTTGACCTGCCCCATCAGGGGTTTGTCACTCAGAGTAAGGTGGATGAGATTGTCATGCTGTGGAACAACCTGTCAGATCATGATAAGGGCCCTCTCATCGTGACAGAGTCCTGAAGGGTCGCTTCAAGGTCAGCCATTCGAAGACCAATGTGACCCCTGGAACTGAAAGTCTGAAGAGGTACTGGTTTCTGTTTTTTTTCTTTGTTAGTTTATTATCATTTGATTCTCTTGAAAGTTCTTTGTATCTTGGCTATAATCATAACCAGTCTCGTTACCAATGTTATCCACTTGTTTGACCGCTATCTGTCAAATAGTCTGATTAACTGTACTTTCCTCCTTTTTCACTTTGCAGATGATTCCTTGGTGAAGGTGGATCAGCTCAGTGGCCCAGCACAAGCCGAGTAGTGGAAGCCATCTGCCTGGCTCTCTGCCGAATTTACCCTGCCGGTCAGACCATCGCCGGAGTCCGGATAAACCGATGGGCTGCCATTCTAAGGGATTATAGGATGATCCAAGACATAGTCCTGGGCAGCCCCGGAATCATGGCTCAGACAAAATTAAAGCTCTTTGAGCTAAACCAGCTCACTATCTCCCAGTGGTAGGTTCAGTAATTAATTGTTCGTGTTTGCGTCTGTTTTCATATTCATAATTTATTTTTACACATATACTTATTTTTGTCTTTTCTGTATATAGGCACAATGCCCGAATAAAGAGGCAGGAGAGGGAGGTCTTGCAGCAGGACATTGAGCCTTTTACTGCTCCTTTGGTGGCCCCTGAACAGCTCCCACCGGTACTGCCAAAACTACCGGAAGCAATCCAGCATGGACACTCAAGCACAGACACTCAGCCATTGAGTTTTCCATCCATGAGGATGCTTCTGGACAGGCAAAACAGCACGTTCGAGGCCAACGTCCTTCAATGACAGCACCTGCTGCTGAATCCACGTCTACTGCAGCACCCTCTCTTGTACCCACATCCGCTGCTGTACCTGCTGCAGCATATGGACATGGACCCGCTCCTGCACCCTTTGCTGCTGCACCCATACCTGCACCACACGATCAAAGGGTGCCCGGGACCACAGCTTGGCGTCGAAGGAAGGCAGCCGCAGCAGCCAGATCACAAGGTGTGACACCTACAAAAGACAAACCCCGGAACAGTACCATTGTCAAAAATGTGGCCAGCCAAAGACTAAAGAGTTTGGCCACAGCCAGTTCTGGGGTGTTCATTTTTGTGCGAAGGCCTCTGGGAAGACTGTGGCACAGTGGCTGGAGGAAGTCAAAAAAGGACAGACAAAGTAGGCCAAACAAACACATTTTTTCAATATGTTTGTGTTGCAAATAATTGTTGTACATAATTAATTTCAGAAAAACGGTTGTAAAAATATATTTTAGTTAATATATGTCTACAAATATGTATTTATGTAATATATACAGCATCCAACATCGAGAAATCCCCCGCATGTTTACGATGTGCATGAATGCAGCGCTTTCCCCCACTGAGGCTCGGTGGCATGCGCGTGCTGAACTACCTGGACGATTGG